TTTTTCTGAGCACTAATTATCCCAAGTTGTCCATATTGTCGTATTGGAGCTCTGAAGCAGCTGCATTTGATTGTTTGGCAACCTAAAATTATCAGGCATGCGGTTATGGGCTCATGTACTTATATAGTTATTTAAGCAGTATCTTACAAAGGATGGTCAGAAAGAGAGTATTGATAATTGGCTGAAGGTATGCTTCTCAAGTTTACGTACTTTATATTTTTTTCATTTGGGAACTTTTATAACCTTTTGACTTATTGATCAAAAGTTGCTTTGCTTGTTTGATCAAATTGTTTGGTAGTTTAGCATAACGTTTTACTATTTCCCTTTTACCACACGAGCCACTCCATTTTTTTGTTATGCATATTGTTCCATTTTTTATTATAAAGATAGAAATTTGAAGAGATGAAGATACAAAGGATGTATTCATTTACAGGTTTTAAAGATTGTTTGAGATTTTGAGAATTCTAGTGTATTTTTCTTAAATATTTTAACTAGTACATAAATGTTGGGACTTAACAAAGTTGCATTATAATTGGTAATTTCGATTTTTCAGATTTTTCTGTAATAAACCGTTACCGAACCGAGTTTTCGGTAACCGAAAACTCAGTTATCAATTACAATTGATTCGGTAAAGGTTTCATATTTTATTGTTACCGAAATAACCAGTTCGATATTAGTTTGGTATTATCAACCCTGCTTATGATTCCAAGAGACTTTAATCACTACCGCTGATAAGAGCTAATTAACAAGTAATTGTGCATGCATCAAGCAATTTTTGAGTGATAGAATAATTGGATCAAGTTCCCCTAAATTCGACCCTACCGTTTACTGCTTTACAATCACCGACTCAAAATTAAAGTCATCAAATTCTAGCATTCAGTGTTGATCTAACGGTAAAAATAGATGCAGTAGGTTGAAACATCCATTGTAAGAAGGATTTCAACCTTTTTTGTTAATTCAACTGTACAACTCTATTCAGATTTTGACTATTACTTAGATCAAGTCTAGTCCAAGTCACAATTAATCTAACTTAATCTGTGCGATTAATTATACCATGTGGTAAGAACCGAGGGCTGGTCCAAATTCAGTGAATTAATACATTTGAAATAAGATTAATTTTATCCAGATAGTTTGTGGCTTAACTAGACATGCAAATTCTTGACAATTTTTACTCATAACATTCCTGCTAGCTAGCCCATCTGTCTGTTTCCCCCATTGGCTCTTTATCACTCATCACATCACACACGCGCACACATATATACACAC